TATTATTATTTATTTTTTTATGCCACATTTGTGTATTGTTTATTTACTGTTTGTTTGTATTTATTATTTATTTAGTATTTTGCTATTCTTTTAAAAATGTAGTTTATTTACTATTCTGTTATTTATTTTTTTGTGCTCTTCTTTGTTTTATTTATTTAAATTTACTATTTATTTATTTATCAATTATATTTTTATTGTTATATCATACATTTATGTGATTATAATTAGTTTCTCTGCAAATATTATTCAAGAATAATATTTATTAAAGCAGTTTGTCATTTAACAAGAGGTGCAGCAATCTTACAATTTTTAAATAATTATTCTTATGGAATAGTTTATTTCCGCCGCTGGCTGTAATACATTTATGGTGCTTTAATGGTTTTTGGAGCTCATTAGAGTGAGTAGACCTTGATTTTCGGGTGAAATCTTCCTTTAAAGGAGCGTCTGCATCTCTATTGTGCAGATGTGACGCTGGATCTGGGTCATGCATCAAAGAGCTGAAGATGAAAAAAGCTTGACTAAAGGTGTCCTTGCCTTCAGTTCAATCTGATAACTGTCTGATGTTCAGATACCGAACGCTTTCAATGACAGGAATCTGCTGCAGTTGTGACTGTTAAACTCAGATTGCATAAAGAGTACAAATATAATATGTGTCCCTGCAGCACAAAAGCAGTGTTAAGTCGCTGGGGGATATTTGTAGCAATAGCCAACAATACACTGTATGTAAAATATGTCTTAAATGTATATGAGCAAGAATTAAGTTTTAGTTTTAGTTATTTTAGCAATTCAAGTTATTTTATCACTTGAAGTTAAAAGAAAATGAGCAATTAAATAAGTTAAAATTAAATAAATAAAAAATACATACATTCATATAAATATATAATATATTAAAATATATACATATTTTTTAATTTCTCATTTTCTCTTAACTTGAAGTGCTAAAATAACTAAAACTAAAACTTAAATAAAATATTAAAAAACTATATACACATAAAAACTATTTGAAATGACAAAAACACAACAAAATTACTAAAACTGTAAGTAAACAAAGAAAAAAAATAATAAAAAAAATAAAGTGCCCTTGTGCTGTTTCTTCTCCTTTAATCTCAGTGCATTTTAGGAGAAACTGTATTGAGATATTAAAGAGTGAATTTCACATGTGATTTATCTCATGAATCATCTAATCATATCATCATGACCCGGATCTGTCATTAATCGAAACGTTTGTGTCCTGAAGGCATTGTGAGTCAGTGAGGTATGTGTGTGTGCGTGTGTGTGTGTGTGTGTGTGTGAGAGAGTGTGTGTGTGTGTGAGTGAGTGAGGTGTGTGTGTGTGTGTGTGAGAGAGAGAGTATGTGTGTGTGCGTGTGTGTGAGTCAGTGAAGTGTGTGTGTGTGTGTGTGTGTGTGTGTGTGGGTGTGTGTGTTTTAGTGCAGAGAGAAAAAAGAAAAAGAGGGAGAGGAGGAGAAAGCAGGAGGCATGAGGAAGAAGGTTGGTGGGTAGGGTAATGGAGCTGGAGATGTAGCCAGGAACTGGGAGTAAAACACTGGCTACTGTGGCAGGGAAGGGGGAGGGGGATGTTGGGGGGGGTTTCCAAAGAGAAAGGAGAAGTTGTTTTCTGAATGACATGAATAGAGCAAAGGCTGCAGAGTGTCAGTGTGTGTGAGTGTCAGTGTGTGTGAGTGTCAGTGTGTGTGTGTGCGTGTGTGAGTGTGTGAGAGAGAGAGAGTGTGTGTGTGTGAGTATCAGTGTGTGTGTGTGTTTGTGTGTGTGTGATCTCCTGTGTGCTCGTGCACCTGTTTCCCGAGCTGATGCCAGAGCGTCTGATGCACACACAGTCTGAATATGGCAACGCTGGCGTCTGGACTCGATCTGCAGAGTTTGAGCGTGCTGCCAGCAGAGCTCAGTTTCACAGCCGCTCTGTTTGTTTTGTGCTCGAGGTTTGCCAGAACTCTAGAGAAACGCTCCGGCAGATTAACTGGGATCTCTGGGGTTTTCTGGGGAAAACGCTTTGTGTAGTTTAGTAATTGTTGTTGTGTTTTGACATGCAGCTGGAGATGAGTCTGTAAAGCCTCTTACTGAACACTTCCTATTATATAAAATTTATATATAAAAGTTGGAGAATATTGTGCGAAGGGACAAATGTTATAAATTCATACGCTTATCTGCGAGCAGGATGGCTTTGCTATTTAAACATGAGAGGGATGAGAAACAATGTGAAAGCAGAGCAGAATGTGAACTAAACAAGTTAGAAAGAGGCACAGCTTGTTATTAAAGGCAGTTTGTTAGTTACATTGTGTTGCAGTTAGTGGTTTGTCATTTTACAGCTTCAAATGTGTCTCATCCAATCAGTTTAATTTGTAATATTAGTTGGTGCTGTTGGCTTTTGCTGTGAACGGAAGTGTTTCAGAATGTGAATCAACATTAATTTAAATCGCTGGAGAGGAAAATCTCTTTTAAATATTTTTTTAACATATTATTAAAACATTTTTATATTTAAAATAGTAATAATTAATAAAATGATATATATATATATACATGGGCAACGTTTGACTCTTGAATCAGGGGGGTTTTACTCTTGCTGCTGATTTGATTGGTAATGCTTCCCGTTTTAAGTGGCCTTTCATTTTTAACCAGAAAATGCTTTTCTGATGTTTATTTAAGTTTTCCGTGTCTTTTTCCGTGTTTTGAATCGTTGTTACTAAAGGTGAGACCCGTGAGGAAAAAATAAACGATCAGTTGTGGGACTAGTCTGTCATAAATTGCATACCATTCATTTCTGAACTTTCTACCCTCTGTTACTGGAAATGAAATGATTGATATGTCCCGATCTCAATAAAGTTTACACGCGCTTTCAGTCCGTGAACTGGATCTCGCTCAGGACACGCTGTCTGTTGAAGTTTGGCCAGGACCGCTTACAGAAGAAATAGAAAGAGGCATTTTTGTCCCGTCCATTGCTTTGGTTATCACGGTGTCAATCTATGATATTTCTAGAATTAATCCAGCATAAATATGTGGATGTCATTCCCGAAATTTTGCAGAATGTATGTGTCCAAAAAAAAAGTTTTAAACAAATTCTGAATGGATTATAGCCTAGAAAGTGCAAAGCGCGCTCCCTTTATTATCACTAAAAGCATCACTCATCTTAGTTCATCGCCATCTCACAAAGTTCCGTTATAATCGATGAAGCTCTCTAAACTACACAATGAATCTCTGATTCACATCGCGTCTGCACTTATGAGATGATTCACGAGCGTGCAAAACTCAGCGGTGAGTGAATTCTGAAAACTCTAACATTTCTGATTGGCCACTGTGTTGAAGAGATCAACAGATATGTGTGTGATTGGCTACATTGCTCAATGCTGCAAAAACACATTTGATAGTTCGTCAGATCTTTAATTGCTTGTGCTTTCGTTTGAAGGCATTTCAATTTCCCCCCTTGACCCCCCCCCCAATGTTGCCCATGTGTGTTTGTATATATACTGTATATAGCAGGACAAATGGCATAAATAAATGTGTGTGTGTGTGTGTGTGTTTGTTTAAAAACAGCATAACAAAGTATAAATTTTGACATTTTTATTACTTTCTAACCATTTAACCATTTTGTCAAGTAATGCAAAGCATGCAGTGAGGTGTGTGTGTGTGTGTCAATGTGTGTCAGTGTGTGTGTGTGTGTGTGTGTGTGTGTGTGTGTATACTCCAAAGCATACATCAATCAGCGAACGTCTCCACTGATTGTTCTCCAGCAGAATGGTTTGAATGTGTGATTTCTCTCTGTGTCTGTTGTGCTGAGCTGAGACGATGAGGGTGTTTCGTGCTTCTTTCAAACAGAACAAACAGCACCTTTATCTGCAGCGATTGGCGGCACGACATACGGGTCTCGGATCTCCTGATAGCGAGCGACAGCACAAACAAAAGCAGTGTTGAATCGCTGGGGGATATTTGTAGCAAGAGCCAACAATACATTGTATGGGTCAAAATGATACATTTTTCTTTTATGCCAAAAATCATTAGGATATTAAGTAAAGATCATGTTCCATGAAGATATTCAGTAAATTTCCTACCGTAAATATATCAAAACTTAATGTTTGATTAGTAATATGCATTGCTAAGAACTTCATTTGAACAACTTTAAAGATGATTTTCTCAATATTTAGATTTTTTTGCACCCTCAGATTCCAGATTTTCAAATAGTTGTATCTCAGCCAAATATTGTCCGATCCTAACAAACCATACATCAATGGAAAGCTTATTTATTCAGCTTTTCATGAATCCATGATTCTTACGTAGAAAGTTCAAAAGAATAGCATTTATTTGAAATAGAAATCTTTACATCACTTTTGTTCAATTTATATTAAAAGTATTAATTCGCTACAAAGTTATTTAAATTTTCATATACTAGAGACAGAAACAGACTTTCATAGTTTTTTTTTATATTTAAACTTTATTGTGACGTGATGCTAAATATTAAATTAGTATTATATGAGTTTATATAAACGAATTCTGGTTTGATGTTATGATAAAGTAGGCTAGTACTTGAGCTGGTGCAAAAAGTCAGTAAAGCAGAAGATGAAATGAACATAATAGATAATAAATGTGTTTCATCAGATGAACATCAGCTTGTTGATCAGCATGACTCTTCTGTTGTTTTATTCATCACTGAGATCCTCCACGCTCTTCATTATATATATATATATATATATTTATATATATATATTTATATGTATATTATGTAAACAAAAACTTTTATTTTGGATGCAATTAATCGTTTGATAGCACTAGTATAGACATTTTTTAGAAAAACTACTCAAAATGACCAAAAACACAACAACATTACTTAAACGTGAACTCTAAAATGAAATTGAAAATGGAAAATATCAAAAGATCTACATGGCGCCTGGTGGAAAAATATGCTAACTATTCATTAACGTTCTGTATGCCGTCTCCTATCTGGAGCAGTTATTACTTGTTAAGAGACATGAAGCCACACGCTTGCTGTCTTTGGTCAGGTAGATGCATTAACTCTCTGGAGGATATTTACGATGAGATCCGTGATCTGCCTCAGATTCCAGATTTTCAAATAGTTGTATCTCAGCCAAATATTGTCCGATCCTAACAAACCATACATCAATGGAAAGCTGATTTATTCAGCTTTTCATGAATCCATGATTCTTACGTAGAAAGTTCAAAAGAATAGCATTTATTTGAAATAGAAATCTTTACATCACTTTTGTTCAATTTATATTAAAAGTATTAATTCGCTACAAAGTTATTTAAATTTTCATATACTAGAGACAGAAACAGACTTTCATAGTTTTTTTTTATATTTAAACTTTATTGTGACGTGATGCTAAATATTAAATTAGTATTATATGAGTTTATATAAACGAATTCTGGTTTGATGTTATGATAAAGTAGGCTAGTACTTGAGCTGGTGCAAAAAGTCAGTAAAGCAGAAGATGAAATGAACATAATAGATAATAAATGTGTTTCATCAGATGAACATCAGCTTGTTGATCAGCATGACTCTTCTGTTGTTTTATTCATCACTGAGATCCTCCACGCTCTTCATTATATATATATATATATTTATATATATATATATTTATATGTATATTATGTAAACAAAAACTTTTATTTTGGATGCAATTAATCGTTTGATAGCACTAGTATAGACATTTTTTAGAAAAACTACTCAAAATGACCAAAAACACAACAACATTACTTAAACGTGAACTCTAAAATGAAATTGAAAATGGAAAATATCAAAAGATCTACATGGCGCCTGGTGGAAAAATATGCTAACTATTCATTAACGTTCTGCATGCAGTTTCCTATCTGGAGCAGTTATTACTTGTTAAGAGACATGAAGCCACACGCTTGCTGTCTTTGGTCAGGTAGATGCATTAACTCTCTGGAGGATATTTACGATGAGATCCGTGATCTGCAGTCTTGTGACAGTCTGCCGGGTTTGTCATGGTTCTTGTGTTAGCTGGTGAGATCTTCACTTAAGGCTTATGGGGTTCCTTGGGACAGACCTTTAGCATCTCATCCCATGGCTCACTGGTTCGAACCTTTGAAGGGGAAAACTATCAAGGTTTCTCTTATTCATAGCAGTCTTGTCATGGAGAAATGTGTAACTGCTGGTATTACTCGAATCTGGGACAGAGAGCATAGTTTTGATTTGGAATTAATATGGCAAAATATTTCAGCCTCGTCTAAAAATGCTGCCCACCAGCTGATAAATAATAATGTAGTCCATAGAATATATTACACACCCTTGAAACGTTTCAGAATGAAGCTTATTTCTTACTTTATATACATAAAAAAAACTGATAAAATGACAAGAACACACAAAAAATATATAAAAAAACAAAGTATTAACATATTAAAATATTAAAATATTATATGCTTCTCAAAAAAAAAAACCGCATTCTTTTTCACATAATTTACCTTTATTCTACACCGCTCTGTCCCTTCTCTGAGAAACACTTGTTTTTATGAAGCCCCTCCCTCAGAAATACTCGATGGGCTCTGATTGGTCAGCTGGCACATTGTGTTGTGATTGGCTAAACTGCGTCTAGTGCGTGTCTGAACGTCCCGCCCCTCACCTCAGCGGCATGTGCTCCGGTTGTATTGTAAACAACTGCATCGTTAATATTGCTTATCAATTTGAGCCCGATTATGCAGTTTCCTATCTGGAGCAGTTATTACTTGTTAAGAGACATGAAGCCACACGCTTGCTGTCTTTGGTCAGGTAGATGCATTAACTCTCTGGAGGATATTTACGATGAGATCCGTGATCTGCAGTCTTGTGACAGTCTGCCGGGTTTGTCATGGTTCTTGTGTTAGCTGGTGAGATCTTCACTTAAGGCTTATGGGGTTCCTTGGGACAGACCTTTAGCATCTCATCCCATAGTTCACTGGTTCGAACCTTTGA